GAAAAAAGTGTTTATCTGTCTACCATACAAAGGAGATGCAGTGTCACAAAAGATTGACAAAAGACTGAAAGGTGCAATAAATAGAAGCTTCCCAGCAGCAAAACTCATAACAGTATACAGCACCACTCCTTCTTTAATACGCTCAAAACTGGATAAATACCCTGCTGATGTCACCTCGAACTGCGTTTATGAATTCACGTGCACTTGCGGGAGCAAGTACATTGGAAGGACAGAAAGAAGGGCTTCTATCCGGTTTTCTGAACATATTCCCAAAAACCTGTGCCTGTTTGGTGAACAGGATCCAAGAAGAATTAGTTTTCGTCGAGAAATGCCTAAGGGAAAATGGATACCCTAAGGGATTTATTCAGAAGTACAGCAGAGAAAAAGATGAGAAAGAAAAGCATCCAACTGTAGAAAAGAAAAAAGTGTTTATCTGTCTACCATACAAAGGAGATGCAGTGTCACAAAAGATTGACAAAAGACTGAAAGGTGCAATAAATAGAAGCTTCCCAGTAGCAAAACTCATAACAGTATACAGCACCACTCCTTCTTTAATACGCTCAAAACTGGATAAATACCCTGCTGATGTCACCTCGAACTGCGTTTATGAATTCACGTGCACTTGCGGGAGCAAGTACATTGGAAGGACAGAAAGAAGGGCTTCTATCCGGTTTTCTGAACATATTCCCAAAAACCTGTGCCTGTTTGGTGAACAGGATCCAAGAAGAATTAGTTTTCGTCGAGAAATGCCTAAGGGAAAATGGATACCCTAAGGGATTTATTCAGAAGTACAGCAGAGAAAAAGATGAGAAAGAAAAGCATCCAACTGTAGAAAAGAAAAAAGTGTTTATCTGTCTACCATACAAAGGAGATGCAGTGTCACAAAAGATTGACAAAAGACTGAAAGGTGCAATAAATAGAAGCTTCCCAGCAGCAAAACTCATAACAGTATACAGCACCACTCCTTCTTTAATACGCTCAAAACTGGATAAATACCCTGCTGATGTCACCTCGAACTGCGTTTATGAATTCACGTGCACTTGCGGAGCAAGTACATTGGAAGGACAGAAAGAAGGGCTTCTATCCGGTTTTCTGAACATATTCCCAAAAACCTGTGCCTGTTTGGTGAACAGGATCCAAGAAGAATTAGTTTTCGTCGAGAAATGCCTAAGGGAAAATGGATACCCTAAGGGATTTATTCAGAAGTACAGCAGAGAAAAAGATGAGAAAGAAAAGCATCCAACTGTAGAAAAGAAAAAAGTGTTTATCTGTCTACCATACAAAGGAGATGCAGTGTCACAAAAGATTGACAAAAGACTGAAAGGTGCAATAAATAGAAGCTTCCCAGCAGCAAAACTCATAACAGTATACAGCACCACTCCTTCTTTAATACGCTCAAAACTGGATAAATACCCTGCTGATGTCACCTCGAACTGCGTTTATGAATTCACGTGCACTTGCGGGAGCAAGTACATTGGAAGGACAGAAAGAAGGGCTTCTATCCGGTTTTCTGAACATATTCCCAAAAACCTGTGCCTGTTTGGTGAACAGGATCCAAGAAGAATTAGTTTTCGTCGAGAAATGCCTAAGGGAAAATGGATACCCTAAGGGATTTATTCAGAAGTACAGCAGAGAAAAAGATGAGAAAGAAAAGCATCCAACTGTAGAAAAGAAAAAAGTGTTTATCTGTCTACCATACAAAGGAGATGCAGTGTCACAAAAGATTGACAAAAGACTGAAAGGTGCAATAAATAGAAGCTTCCCAGCAGCAAAACTCATAACAGTATACAGCACCACTCCTTCTTTAATACGCTCAAAACTGGATAAATACCCTGCTGATGTCACCTCGAACTGCGTTTATGAATTCACGTGCACTTGCGGGAGCAAGTACATTGGAAGGACAGAAAGAAGGGCTTCTATCCGGTTTTCTGAACATATTCCCAAAAACCTGTGCCTGTTTGGTGAACAGGATCCAAGAAGAATTAGTTTTCGTCGAGAAATGCCTAAGGGAAAATGGATACCCTAAGGGATTTATTCAGAAGTACAGCAGAGAAAAAGATGAGAAAGAAAAGCATCCAACTGTAGAAAAGAAAAAAGTGTTTATCTGTCTACCATACAAAGGAGATGCAGTGTCACAAAAGATTGACAAAAGACTGAAAGGTGCAATAAATAGAAGCTTCCCAGCAGCAAAACTCATAACAGTATACAGCACCACTCCTTCTTTAATACGCTCAAAACTGGATAAATACCCTGCTGATGTCACCTCGAACTGCGTTTATGAATTCACGTGCACTTGCGGGAGCAAGTACATTGGAAGGACAGAAAGAAGGGCTTCTATCCGGTTTTCTGAACATATTCCCAAAAACCTGTGCCTGTTTGGTGAACAGGATCCAAGAAGAATTAGTTTTCGTCGAGAAATGCCTAAGGGAAAATGGATACCCTAAGGGATTTATTCAGAAGTACAGCAGAGAAAAAGATGAGAAAGAAAAGCATCCAACTGTAGAAAAGAAAAAAGTGTTTATCTGTCTACCATACAAAGGAGATGCAGTGTCACAAAAGATTGACAAAAGACTGAAAGGTGCAATAAATAGAAGCTTCCCAGCAGCAAAACTCATAACAGTATACAGCACCACTCCTTCTTTAATACGCTCAAAACTGGATAAATACCCTGCTGATGTCACCTCGAACTGCGTTTATGAATTCACGTGCACTTGCGGGAGCAAGTACATTGGAAGGACAGAAAGAAGGGCTTCTATCCGGTTTTCTGAACATATTCCCAAAAACCTGTGCCTGTTTGGTGAACAGGATCCAAGAAGAATTAGTTTTCGTCGAGAAATGCCTAAGGGAAAATGGATACCCTAAGGGATTTATTCAGAAGTACAGCAGAGAAAAAGATGAGAAAGAAAAGCATCCAACTGTAGAAAAGAAAAAAGTGTTTATCTGTCTACCATACAAAGGAGATGCAGTGTCACAAAAGATTGACAAAAGACTGAAAGGTGCAATAAATAGAAGCTTCCCAGCAGCAAAACTCATAACAGTATACAGCACCACTCCTTCTTTAATACGCTCAAAACTGGATAAATACCCTGCTGATGTCACCTCGAACTGCGTTTATGAATTCACGTGCACTTGCGGGAGCAAGTACATTGGAAGGACAGAAAGAAGGGCTTCTATCCGGTTTTCTGAACATATTCCCAAAAACCTGTGCCTGAAAGGAAGCAGATATTCCCAGAGTGCAATTACCATACACATTATTGATACCGGACATCTCGTAGAGATTTCTAATTCCTTCAAAATATTAAATAGACAAAGGACAGCAAATTTACTACGATTTGCCGAAGCAATCGCAATCAAAAGACTTAAACCAGACTTATGCATACAGAAAGAGAGTGTGATTAACCTCTCACTCCCTTGGTAACAGAATTTTGATTTTGATTAATCATCTAATTCAGTGATCTCAACTCACTGAACAAATCTTAATCTCATAAACTGTAACCGTTTTTGTTATTTTGTTTCTTGAGTTGCTGTGTGAACCTAAAAGCTAACACTGTTCTGTTAATCAATTTTTCTGTTTTCTCTCTTAGCCTTCCCCCTCTTTTCAACTTTAAAAGCGTATAAATTGATGATGAAAACTTAAACTAAAAACATTGTAATGCTTTCATTTAGATGCGTCAATTTTATAGTATCTCTTTTCTACCACCACTCGAACATTAAAGTATGTTATTATCACCTATATAACCATTGTAATTTCAGGTAGTCTGCAGCTGATGAGAACCTGTGAAATAGAATGATATCATTTTATACTGCAAATTTCGTCTTCCTTTCTTTATCGAAAATGGATTTCCACCACGTTTTATAGATAAGAATATATATTCAAAGCCTATAAAACGTGACTTATCATCCGTACTCAAGAAAATACTTTACATGAGCTTGGAATTCAAAGGCGACTTAGCTTCCGATATCATGAAACGAAGGATATCACAGTCCCTGAAAAGAACATTCCCTACTGCATCTCTGAGAATAGACTTTACTAGTCGACCATTACTGCTCAATAATCTGAAAGACAAGATCCCGCTGTTGACCAACTCTATGTGTGTTTATCAATTCACCTGCTCGTGTGAAGCTAGGTATATTGGTCGTTCGACTCGAGTTTTTTCCAAGAGGGTGCAAGAATACTATCCTGCATGGCTACGAAAAGATGGAAGTGGAGCAATAAGAAGCGCGATCATAGAACATCTGGTCGATAATGATCACCCTATCTCTATAGCCTCCGCCTTTAAAGTCATCTACAAGGCAAAGAGTAATTTACCCAAATCACTACGTACCCGACTCATCTGTATTGCTGAAGCTTTGGCTATCGAAACAGAAAATCCAGGTCTCTGTGTACAAAAAAAGTTCATCCAACCCCTCCAACTTTCATGGTCTTAATCCCTCTATGCTAAAGTATGGTAATCCCCAATCATATTTTAGCTCTACCAATTTTTCATTTTTTCATTTTGTCTATTCAATTTGTAGTCTCTTCCTTATTACGTCAATTGTTACTATTACTACTCGCACTTTGAACTGTCCCCGGTATTATTTCACTTGTTCCACTTGTCATTCTAAATCAATTCCTTTTTACAACGTTAAATTCTATGCTATCAAATTTCACACAATATTACGTAACGTTTTTATTTTATTGGAGTTGTCTGCTAATCCTATAATTGCACACCCTTTTTCAAGTTCTATCCCTCCTATGAATAATTCTATATATAACATTAATTTGTTTTGCCACTTGACATTTAACTACGATTATAATCACAAACATTTCAGTTTTTAACTACAATTCATGCTATTATTATTTTATGCATATATATATATATTTGCAGGAAAGGTTCTAAACAAAGCACCCTACAAAAAGTCGTGAAAATGCAGGAGAACAGATAGCTGAAGTTTATACGTACAAATTAATGGCAAGGTGTAAATCCAATGCAGAATCATTACTTAACAGTTGAACTTACTTAGGAGTTCCATAATCCGGTTTGGTAAATTCATCGCAGGTCATAAAAATATCACCGGCTTTTTGTTGATCGTCATCTGTGATATGTATGGAGGAGGCTCCGTTATTTCTTCTGACAAATTATTCATTTCAGTAGAACAAATATGTAGCGCCCTGAATCAATCTAAATCCACAGTTTGGCTTCAGTAACGTACACTGAAAAGATAATGCCAGTTAATTATAAGGTAAACAACTAAGCTTTATATAAAGATTATTTAACATTCTAGTACTTGGCACAAAATTTCACCAATCTACACCGTCACACTTCTGAATAACCTACATATGAAACTATAAAGAACGGAGGTGTGAGAGTAATTAAATGAAGACGAATGAATACCTTAGGAATCTGGAAAACTAAGTCAAATGAATAGACTTGCTTCGTTGTAAACGACTTTACGCCATATCACTGAGAAACTCCAACAATCAAAGCTTCCTGTCTCAAGGACCCCACACAGACAGTCCACACCTTTAAGTGATTCAAGCAAAGTCAACAATTTCATAGGTTGGTGCCATGTTTTGGTATGATCTCTTCTAGCTCTTTTCTAAACTAATTCCATTCCACCTAACATTGTTCGTCGAGGTGGTATGTGCAACTACCCTAATCAACGGGGCTCCCCCTAGCCCACTGACTTTCCCTCCCCACCTAAAACTCGAAGCCAAACCTATATTACTTATACTGGTCCACAGCATGGACAACTTACTAAGGGGAACTGCAGTCAAATCTGTTAATCGCTTTTAAATCTCCTACGTTAAATGGTTATTTTTCAATTGTAAAGTAGGACAGGCTGAACTGTGACACCACTTCCTTTAATGGATAGCAGGATACTACACTGACGACACACATGACGCAGGTTGGCAAACGCTCAACAAGCCTCTAATATTCATGGTGCGATTTTGAAATCAAATATGAGGGATGGTATGAAGTGGAAAGGATACCACTTAACGCTGAGAAACAATTCAATTAAGCAGGGATAAGTTCTCAGATACAGAATAAGTTGCGTTGGTGTTGATGTGATATAGTAGGAATATAAAGCTTATCAACAGCAAGTCAAAACACTCCAGCAGACCAACTAAAACCTCCACTGGTAATCATTATTGCTGACAGAATAACTAACTAAATATTCCTTACAGCAATCTTAATGCAATTCATAATGCTGGAATCAGTTGCAATCAGCCAAGGATGTGTAATGTCGAAAAACGCCCTCAGCAAACTCGGACCTTTAAACAGAAAGAATACTCTAATAATGAGGGTAGTTTGAATTTATTGTGAAATGTTACAGACTTTGTCAACAGGTCGTGTCTAAGTACTATTTCGACATTTTGGCCTTTAGAATACCATTCTTCGAATAATGGATACAGCGATTACTTCACACTAAATTTACAAAATAAAACCAACATGCCTATGCAAGTGAAAGAAATAAACAGACACACCACATATTGATGCCCTAAGAAGAATATTTTCCTTGTTTGTTCAATTCTCTGGGCAGGATACATGAAACACGATATTAACTGAGTACTCAGACTAGTAAGAGTAATACTGAATTCGAAGAAAAATTATTAGAAGCTGGATAAATGAGGTAGTGAGATGAAATGAAACCCACATTGGTCACAACTAGCTAGATATGCATGAAATTAATGTTAACACTTGGTGTGGACAATATCGCAAAACTTCACACTAGAGATCCAGAGGGGTAGAAATGTCACAGTAATAAAGAGGACAAAGTACGAAATCATAAATAAAGCCAAGATTAACGACAGCCCAGTATAATTTCCACCTACACAAGAGGGTGAAGTTAGGCTTCAAGCACCAAGAAGTACCGGAAGAGCAAGACCGGAAAAATAAGTTTGAAAAGCCCAGAGAAAACCCAGTGAAATCAGGCAAATAACATTGTAATCATGAATTAAATATACTGAGTGAAGTTTTATGATATTATACACAATATCTGGGAAGTTCCAGTTTAGGTTTGGGAGAGATTAAGTAAAGTCTTAGGCTAAAGACAATTCAGGGTTAGGTAAAGCTAATATGGTGGATACTATGATTGGTTCGAGTGGAACCTGAATGGGAAACGATGAGGGTTTCGTCCAAGAGTGACATGGAGCAGATCGTGCGAGCAGATGAGAAATTATCGGCGACCACGGGACTATAAAAAAACAGCGGAAAACAAAACGAAGTGGAGATGTATAGCTGAGGTCTTATATTCCACCCGGAACCCAAGGGAATAATAATGGTGATACTACGGTTGTTTCGAGTGAGATCAGGGTCAGTTTATGGATATTTTTGGGTTAGGGTCGGGTTAGCAATAGACTGAAATAAAGGTTAAAAGACCTGAACCACATGAACAGGATGTAGTTTGATTACCCCAATAACGTTCCAGTGCAAAGCTGAGAAACATTTTGTCACATGGTAGATACGTTAATGTATACTGTGTTACATTCCCGTGTCATTCTATACACTATTTTCATAAGTATATGCGTTTCATGCGTGAAATTCGCCTTTTATATGCGGTCGGTGCGTTCACGCTCGCTAGTTCATCACTACATTTTGGTGCTTACAATTTAACTTTGCTCCAAGAGCACGTTGTGTACAGATTCAGATGATAAGGATAGAAGGCTCTTGTGGCCTGTGTTAATCCTTGCAAAGTATATCTCTGCAGAGATCTAACTTCTCTTTGAAAGCGTTCACCGATGGAGCTGATACTACTGAATCAGGTAAGGAGTTCCAATCGTTGACCACTCTGTGAGAGAATCTAAATTCTGCACGTATTTTAATCGTCCTTGGTTTGAGCACCTTTTTGCGGTGACCCCGTAAATGTATCCTAGAAGGGGAGAAAAGGTTAGAAAGGTCAGTTCCTAAATCACCCTTAAGTATACGGTATGCTAAAATTAAGTCGCCTCTCTTCCTTCGGTATGATAACGGGAAGAGATTTAAATGCTCCATCCTCTTATCATAAGGAAGGTGTGAGATACCACTAACTAATTTTGTTCCTACTCTCTGTACTCTTTCCAGAATATGTGCCTCCTTTTTGAAGCATGGACTCGTCGCTTGTATGCAGTATTCTAGATGAGGCCTGACATATGTTGCGTAGAGTATTTGGAACATGCCCTCGTCTAATCGTTTGAAAGCCCTTCGAATTGCCCATAGCATTCGAAAAGCTTTAGCTGCGGCTGCATTGCAATTTGCAGTTGTTTTCAAATCGTTGCTGACAATGATTCCTAGGTCCTTCTGTTCGTTAACATCAGGTAGTTCTGCATCCCCTAGGGAGTACGACGTATAAGACTTCTGACCTAAGTGCATTACCGCGCTTTTCCTAGCATTCATTTCCAAACTCCATAGGCTTGACCACTCAGCTAATTTATCTAAATCAGTTTGTAGGGCCAACCTATCCTCGTTATTGTTTACAGTTTTCCATATCTTAATGTCATCTGCAAATAATAATGAAGATGAAGAAAGAATCCCTGGTAATTCGTTAACGTATAATAGGAATAGCAATGGACCTAATACAGTTCCCTGGGGCACTCCACTGGATACTGCTTTCCATCCTGATAGTACACCATTAACTCTAACCTTCTGCCTTCTATCCATTAAGTAATCTCTAAACCACTCACATAGGCATTGGTCTAGTCCGAAACCTTTCAGTTTACTAAGGAGACCTAAGTGGGATACTTTGTCGAACGCCTTGCTAAGATCAATAAAAACCACGTCCAACAGATGGTCCCTATCTCTGGCCTCAACCCAGTCTTCCCTAGCCAATAGTAGGTTTGTCAAGCAGGATCGTCCTGGTCGGAATCCATGCTGTTCCACAGCCAACAAGCCATGTGTTTCAACATAAGCTAATAGTTGATCCCTTATAATAGTTTCCAGTACCTTTGCAATAATGCATGTCAGACTTACCGGCCTGTAGTTAGATACCAATTGCCTATCCCCGTCCTTGAAGATAGGGCTTATAATGGCATCCTTCCAGTCCCTGGGTAGCTTAGCCTGCGTCAGAGACATTTGGAAAATCTCCGTAAGCGGAATATATATTATATCCGCCAAGGAAATTAACAACTTAGGGTGAAGTCCATCCGGCCCAGGTGATTTACCTGGCTTCAGTTTAGACAGTAGTTTGAGAACCTTTGTGTGCTCTACCACAATTGAGGGCATCTGAGTGGCGATGGCAGTGACCTCGCCATATCCCTGGGTGGTACTATCAGACGAGAAGACGTCACAGAAGTATTCAGAGAGGTTTTCAGCCTTCCTTCGTCTGACTCAGCCGCTTCTCCACTAATGGTTATGAGTGACGGTATACCACTGCTAGTTTTAGTCCTACGTTTAATATACGAGTAAAACCTTTTTGGGTAATGAACGCAATCTAGTACTAATCGTCTCTCGTACTCTATACGACTCTTGTTAATCGCATACTTACAGAGGTTTCGAGTTTTGCGGTAGTCTTTCTGGAAGTTTTCCCTTCCTGTCATAACAAATTGGTCCCATAAGTTCTTTCGCCGTCTTAATAACCTCCTTATTTCACTAGTGATCCAAGGAGGTTCATGCGACGGCTTTCGAGGAGTGTACCAAGGTATAAAAGGTGAAGTGACACGATCTAGTGTATTCCTAAATCCTACCCAAGCTTCCTCGACAGTCCGACTTGTATCAACTGACCAGTCAACCACAGTTGCTGCGTTCCGGATTCCTTGTATATCCGCTTTCCAAATGTTTGGACGAGCAGATTTTGGCCTGTGCATGAGAGAATGAATCCTAAACGTAAAAGCAATGACTATGTGGTCACTGCTGCCAAGCGGCGGAAGGCACCTAATGTTACCAACGTCCTCCTTCTGGTGTGTCAATACCAAGTCTAGAGTAGATGGATCATGTTCAGGGTGATACCGTGTTGGTGCATGCATATGTTGCACGAGTGCACATTCAAGCACTGTCAATGTGAGCTCCCTATTGAAACAGGTATACAAACTAGTGGAGTTTAATTCCCCCCAATTAATATGTGGAGCGTTAAAGTCGCCAACAATCAGACACCTATTTCTACTACCCCACGCCCTCAAGTGATTTAGAACGAAGTCATCAGCTTGGCTAGCAGGACTTCTGTAAATAACTCCGATCGTTAAAGTGCCTTTGTTTAAGTTAATGATGCAACTTGCGGCTTCACTGGTGCCGCTGTCATGAGCTTCTGACAACGTTGACCTGATCCCTATGTCATCCCGGATGTATAGAGCAACCCCCCACCTTTCCGACTACTTACTCTGTCTGCTCGTATGCAGATATACCCAGGTATGAGTGGAGTTAAGTCTACACCCACTAACAACCACGTCTCAGTGATAGCAATTACATCAGGTTGTAGTCTTTCAGATAACTCTCCTAATTCGGCGAGCTTATTCCTAAGACTACATGCGTTCGTATAGCACACCGAAACACCTACGTGTTCACCCGGCTTATGAAGAGAGGTCTCGGCAGCATCGGTTTCCGAGACCTCACCACCCGAAAACCCAATAGTTTGAGGTCCTTTTCGCCTTTCTCTAGCCTGGCCTTTAGTTCAGCCACGGCTTCTCTTCTTTTGATTCTATCTTCCAAAGGCCAATCAGGCCTTATTTTTAGACTTTTGTCGTTGACTTTGAACGCGTTGTCGAGGATGGTCCTCCTCTCTGTTTCGTTCCCTAAAACTACCTTAAGTAGTCGTCGAGGAGTTCCTGTAGCATCAGGGTTTCGTTTTCCGATCCTGATGGCCTTTCGTACGTGTACTCCAGTTGTTTTTTCGGGAAGTATTTCCCGGAAAATGGAGCTGATCGCCTTCAGATCATCTGCATGTCGGGCAGCTGGATCTGTTCTTAGATTCCTCCAAGTTCCAGATGATTATACTGTAACACACAACGCTATATAAGCCAGAGAGAAGAATTCAAGCGTTGCATAGATAACCGTTACACTTTACAGGTTTTCACGAAATCGATTTGTGTTTTAGCCGCGACTGAGCAAAATTAAAGTAATGGAACGGACAGAGGTACAAAATAAGTATATCCCACGCTATAATACTTTATCTATATAAACCAACAAGAGTAATGGTAGAAAGTGACTCGAAATCCTGAATTTTAGTACTAAACAGTAACAAATCGTCAATAAAAACTTAATTTCTCATTCAACCAATCCCCACCTGCTGAATTAAAGCCTCAGTCGACGACACGTGCCGTAGAATTTTGAAAGTGAGTAGTCCGATATTTCAATGACTCATGATGCATATTAATAAACCTACGGAATTATTTCAGGTGGCCTCTCGATGTCCCGGTATAAATATATATATATATATTGTAAGGGGAAAAAATTGCCTTCACCAAGATAGGGTCAGTTTGTAATATCGTCTGTGAGTTCCTTACTGTATGTAACACTTGGATCGACGTACATACCTACAAAGATCTTTGTAGGTTTATACGTCGTTCACATTATTACAACTAAAATGGCAGTTCTTAGGTGTCTTCAGTTGTAGTTTGCTTGGGTTTTACGCGAACATCGTGTTCGAAATCGCGAACACATATTTCAGCACTTCTGCAAAATTTTTAGGCGGGTAAGTTAAAACTAAAACCAGAAGTTCAGTTATAAAATTTTCAGATCTATAGAATGCTTGGCTTTAACGAGAATAGTGCTAAAGGTCTGTGTCAATGGAGGTGAACATTGAACGTTAGCTTTTGGAAATGGTAGCCATTGTTGGGCAACTCGAAATCGCGAAAAGTTCGATCGTGTACAAGTTCTACGAAGGCGATCAAGAACGAATAAAAGTGCATAATAAATTTGTTTATAGACTCGTACTGTTCTCTACTTTAATTGCCAAACAATATAACTTCCTTCTTACAATACTGGTGTTTTGGAGTTAAAGTCGAAGAAAGTACGTAGTATATATCGGTGCGGAGCGTCTTCGTAACAATAGCAACTTAGGGATGATTTCCTTGACAGTTTTTATTCGCCTGTTCGTTTTCTGGAGCGCCTTTTGGAACTCATCCGGGCGTACTTGCTGGATCTGTAGCCAGTTTCTTTTTAGACACGGATTATCAACGCAATTCGGATCCCTTGGTGACGTTGGATAATGTCTGAATCAAGGAAGCGACGTGGCACCATGGAAGCAGACAAAAAAGTAAGTAAGGATGGGTTACCTGTTAAGTTTAATGATATGCATGATGCTCAGCATGATGAGTCTATTGTTTTTGTTTCACCGTCTAGGGATGATAGGCTTAAATTTGAACCTCGGTGTTTCGACGGAAACCAAGCTGACTATCGACAGTTTATCAAGGAGTTTGAAGTCATGTTGAGTAGTTTTTTATTAAATGATGAAATGAAGTTGATGTATTTGATGAGGTACTGCACTAAAGTTGCTTCAAGAGCTATACAGTGCTGTAAGGTTATGCCCCCTGACGAGGGATACTCTGCGGCTATGAGTATACTGCGTCGAAGGTTTGGAAGACCTTCGATGATTCTAAGGAACGTATTCGAGGCTGTTAATGTTAATGGTAGTCAATTACAAGATGACTCCAAGGCACTTACTGAGTTTCTGGATAATCTGATGACTTACAAGAATATGTTGATTTTGATGAATTGCATGAGCGATCTGAACTCAAGTTCCGTTCTAGAGGTAATAGCGAGACGCCTATCTACTCGACTGCAAAGGAAGTGGGTGAAGGCGAGCTCTCGTATAGAGGACGAAGGTTAAGGGGCAGGGTTCGAAGATATACTGAGATTAGTGACAGATAATGTTAATCAGACTATGGGTAAATTCGACAGTATATTGCATCCGGCTATGAAAATGAGAGGTCAGTGAGTAAGACAAAGTCATCTGTGACGACAGGTTCTAAAAGCATTGGACGTTCAGTAAAGTGTGTTATCTGTGGTGACGTGCACATAGTTAGTGAGTGTGCTCGTTTCCTTCAAATGTCTCCAACAGAAAGACTGCAAACTGTGAAAAGGAAATGGTTATGCTACTTCTGCTTAAAGGACGGGCACACAAGACTTAACTGTGAAACAGCTGAGAATGGTGGTAATGGCTCATCGGAATTACATCCGCTGTTGACAGTGGCGAAGAATCAGGAGAGTTCTATTAATCGTAATGGCAGTTTTGCACCACACGACTTTCAGAAGGTCTATTTAGGTGTCATGCCAGTAAGAGTAAGAAAACCAAGGTCATGTGCCGATACATATGGTGTCATCAAAGTCTCATAAACCGTTAATGCCCAGCTCTCGCTACGCTCGGGCCCACGCTGTTCTTAGAAGATTTCTGAGAAACGCTTAGTAACAACGGACGAAAAAACCAGAACACCAATTGTTGACTTGAGTATTATGTATTGTTACACCAGCATATAAATCAAGTATCACTAAGCAAACTAAGAAAACTAAGGTCTGTAAACAAATATTACAATAATAAATCGTTATGTTACTTCTGACGATGTTTAACTCTTCTTTCCGAACAGCGACCGATGAGACGATGACTGTCGTATTGATGTCTCCGCGAAAATTGGGGAGGTTGATTTTAAGCAAACAACCAAGAATTGATCTTTCAAACTTCAACTCCATTGACACTCCCCGGCAAAAAAGGGATCCAACCCTTTTTTCCTTCACGACCAATGCACGTTGACTTGGATGCCATTGCGAGAACCTGGGTCACACGGACAGAGCTGAAATGGAAAACAAACAGAAAAGCCAACACACCACAAGCATACCCACAGCACAATCTCACACATCAATGACGACCTGCGCCTCCAGACAGAGACCTCCTCTTGACATCTTGCAACGCAGTCTCCACTTGCTAGAATGACTCTTGCAGAATGCGACGTGACCATAGCACCACCTCATGATACTCCACGCACATCCTCTTATCTACTCACTACCAATTACCACTGAAATCGCTTGTCACTCATTCTGCCTCAGTTCTAGTAGCGGTGACGCATGCGAGCCTCAGTCGTTTACACTCCTTCTCCCCGGCGTGTCGGACCACAGCTAACAATTATCTCCGTGTGCATTTCATTCTCAGCAATAGCCTCCCCGGCGTATACGACCCATCTGCTGTCCTTAACATCAATCAATTCATTCATGGATGTAGAAGACTCGAAACAACTTCAGAAATAATCACGACGAAAATTTTAACAAAATTACGCAATAACAACAAGACACGAAAACAACAAGTAAACACAATGAATCCAAAAACACCAATTGATAGAACACACCACACATATATACAAACAGTACAAACAACCTCGCCGATCATGTCTTGATGGAATTCCTTTGAAGAATTGCAGGACTTACACCAGTACGCCCGCAACCCTTCACAGGTTGACGATTGTAAGTTGTGGAATGTCCGGACACAAACAAGATTAACCAACAATTACAATAATTGGAACTCACACAATTATTTAACAAAAACATATGTACAATCAACACATCAAATGTTGTGGATTCTGACACGACAAACTACCCTTGAAGAACTGTAGGACTTACAGCAGTACGCCTACATTCCCTCTCAGGTTGATGATACAAGTGGAAGTCGTCCGGACACAAACAGAATTACCAACAGATAGATAAAAGATGATATCAATTCAGTATATACAACATGAACATATGTACAAAATCACACACCAAGCACATTGGACTGCTCATTGATGCGCTACCCTTTGAAGAATTGTAGGACTTACAGCAGTACGCCTACAACCCTTCTCAGGTTGACGCCCTAGGTTGGAAAATCGTCGCAGAGTTCATTTGCTAACTTCCTTCTATCAGCTATATCCTCAAATCTGAACGGCAACACGCTCATGTCATTGTATCGTAGAATATAGATGACCAACAAACACACGACATATCTCATCAACCAAGTGTAGAAACAGAGTAATTTACACCAAAGATAATAACATTCAAATAGTAACTTGAAACTAGAAATGCCTTTATTCGTGCAAGTCAATTTAACAATAACTCTCTCATTTACACTTGGCTTATCCACACTAAACTGACCATTGATATTCGTCCTTTCAAACGAACTGATACTACCATAGTCATTGCACAAGATACTTGAGTTCATGGGTGTCTGTTTCATTGTGGATGACAGCACCAACGACGACTGATTGATATCAGTTGATGAACTTAGCAGTGGATCAAAAGCTGTTGTTGCTCGCTTTTCAGAAATTTGTCTACCTGCAAGACCACCACCACTGCTGTCTTTTACTATCAGCTCAGGTTTAACACTAGCATCTGATGATAGGTGGGCTACATGCTGATCACTCCCACTGACGGTCTTACAAGTATGCATGCCTTCTGCAACTGAATCTGCATTTATTTCTACTTCACGTTCAAGTTGTACAGAACCTTTATTTAACTTAGCAGTAGTAGGCATTCCCTCCATTTCATCATGATCAACCAAAGACAAATCTGCACTATCATGATCATTATCACAAATATCCAATTTACCGTCAACTTCATCATTTTCAAACTCTTTAATAACAGAAGTAGACAATTTTGGTTCCTCCTCAAAAATTATTAAAGGTTTTACATCTTCACTCTGACTAGTTATACTTTGTAAACTTTTGGAGTCAGAACTCCACTCTGAAGCAGTAACTCTATTCTGTGACACTCTATTTAGCAACGGCTTACCAGTTGCAACTACAGACTTCTTCACAACAACGTTATCGTCACACAATTCGGAGTAAGGCCTGGAGTTTACATTTAGCTTATCACTGAACTTGCTCACTGGTTCACAGTTCACTTCTGTATGCACCTCTTGCACACGTGTAGAACAAAGCCGTGTTTGTCTTGCATCTTGTAACTTATCTGTTGAGGATGTACTACGAAACCTGTTACACTCACTAGGTCTATATGCATTACTAGACATCATGGAGTCTTCTCGATATCCACCTCTCTGAGGCCTACTCGTCATCAATGAGTGCGTTTTACCCTCAGACTGCTCTATTCTAGGGGTGAGATCTAACAGACTGGAAAACTTGCTCATAGATTGATTGACACTAGTATTTACCAGTTTCAGGATATCATCAAACTTTGGCTCGATACCCTCATCCTCCATACGGGAGCTTATCTTCACCCACTTCCTTTGCAGTCGAGTAGGTAGACGTCTTGCTATTACTTCTAGTATAAAACTCGAGTTGAGGTCACTCATTCGATTCATCGAAATCATTCCATTCTTGTAAATTAGCAAATTATCTAAAAACTCAGTGAGTGCCTGGGAGTCATCCTGTAA